AGCCTGTTTGGTTGGATAAGGTAAGATGTTGATGATCTAAAGTTCCTCTTTTAGATGGCTCTCACCCCTTCAGGAGGAGCTCAAAGGAGACTAGATTAAAAATCATTGCTCTCAATCCTTCCTTCACCTAAAATGTACCTTCTTGAACCAGTTCTTTCTCAGAGGCATCAATTTGAAAACCATGATTTCTTCAATGAGATATGTAGCAAATCCCTTGGGCCTTTCACATTCCTCTTTAACCCACAGTTGTAGGACAGAGTCCAGATACCTGGCACTTCCAGGTTCCCACCACACACCAGAATCTTCTCCATTACTGAGGGAGTGCAAAAATAAAAATAAAAATAAAAAAATAAACACCTACCTGCAAGCAAAACCCAGAAGGAGCAAGGAGTTAATGTACCTAGGGCAAACTTTAAGCAGCAGAAGACAGGATTGGATGGGCAAATGCTCTGTCCTGTTTCCCAGATAGACGTATGGGGCAGGTGCCTGTGACTTGAGGGAGCAATCTCCATAATGCACCCTATGCTAGCTTTTCCTCTTTGCCTTTCTACACTCTCCACTCCCCTACTCTTGAATCCTGGTATCACCTCACAAATAAACTGCCTCACCTAAGTCCTTGCCTCTAGTTCTGCTTTCAGGGGACTCAAATTGCATATGATGTGCCACAGGCTATGGGGTGCCCTTAAAACCAAAGGCATCTGTACCCTAACAGAAATGTTAGGGAGAGAAGTAGCAGTTCTTTGGAGCCCCAACATCATTCTTAATATCCTTCCCACCTCTAGCCTTTTTATCTGCCTCACTAATTATACCACTGCTCCCCCAATGAGAAATTGCAGGTGGATTATAAACATAGAAATTTTCATTGATGGATAAATAGTATTTTATCATATCCACAAAATAAAAGTAATAGTACTATATTATGATATTGTTCTGTTGTAACATAAGAAATCTGTAAAAATAAAACAAGAATATTCTTTTGCAATTCTAAGTACTCAATAGATACAGTGACGTTTACAAAGTACTGCTTGGTCTAGAATCTAGAACTCTCTAAAGAAAGCAGAGAAATGGCCTGAATCCTTAAATCAGCTTACCCCTCCTCAGGTCCAGGTTCCTCAGGCCACCAATGCCACAGGCTCCCACTTCCACCAATAATTTAGTAGAACCCCACTTGGTTAATATCTTATCTAATTTTATGAGATAGATCATATAAATCAATAAATACAACTTATGCCAAATTCTAAATCAGTAGTAATAAAAAATATATATTCCTACAGAAATTAGTCAAAGTAAAATAAATTGGGTTGACAGGGTCAGGAAAAACTCCTAAAAGGAAATAAGACCACACACCTACAGCCATCTAATCTTCGACAAACCTGACAAAAACAAGCAATGGGAAAAGGGTTCCCTATTTAATAAATGGTAATGGGAGAACTGGCTAGCCATATGCAGAAAATTGAACCTGGACCCCTTCCTTATACCATATACAAAAGTTAACTCAAGATGAATTAAAGACTTAAATGTAAAACTCAAAACTACAAAAATCCTAGAAGAAAAACTAGGCAATACCATTCAGGACATAGACATGGGCAAAGATTTCATGACAAAAACACCAAAAGCAACTGCAACAAAAGCAAAAATTGGCAAAGGGAATCTATTAAACTAAAGAGCTTCTGCACAGTAAAAGAAACTATCAGCAGAGAGAACAGACAACCTACAGAATGGGAGAAAATGTATGCAAACCATACATGTGACAAAAGTTTAATACCCGGCATCATAAGGAACTTAAATTTACAAGAAACAAACAAATGATCCCATTAAAAAGCAGGCAAAGGAAATGAGCAGACACTTCTCAAAAGAAAACATACATGAAGCCAGCAAACATATTGAAAGAAAAAGAGATCAACATCGCTGATCACTAGAGAAGTGCAAATCAAAACCACAATGAAATACCATCCCATGCCAGTCAGAATGGCTTTTAATAAAAAGTCAAAAAACAACAGATGTTGGCAAGGTTGAGGAGAAAAATAAAATGCTTTCACACTGCTGGTGGGAGTTTAAATTAGTTCAATCATTGTGGAAAAAAGTGAGGCTATTCCTCAAAGACCTAGAGGCAGAAATATCATTTGACCCAGCAATCATATAATTGGGTATATACCCTAAGGAATATAAATAATTATCTTATAGATGCATGCACACATATATTCTTTGCAGCACTACTCACAATAACAAACACATGGAATCAACCCAAATGCCCATCAGTGATAGACTGGATAAAGAAAATGTGGTACATATACACCGTGGATTACTATAAAACCATAAAAAGGAACGAGATCCTGTCCTTTCCAGAGACATGGATGGAGCTGGAAGCCATTATCCTCAGCAAACTCACTCAGGAACAGAAAACCAAACACCACATGTTCTCACTTAGAAGTGGGAGCTGAACAATGAGAACACGTGGACACAGGGAGGGGAACAACATGCACTGGGGCTTATCGGGGGTGGGGGAGGGGGAGGATCAGGATAAATAACTAATGCATGTAGGGCTTAATACCTAGGTGATGGGGTGATCGGTGCAGCAGATCACCATGGCACACATTTACCTATGTAATAAACCTGAATATCTAGATAAATAGTTAATGCATGTGGGCCTTAATACCTAGGTGGTGGGTTGATCAGTGCAGCAAACCACAATGGCACACGTTTACCTATGTAATAAACCTGCACTTCCTGCACATATACCCTGAGACTTAAAAGTTCAAGAAAAGAGTTGACTATATAAAAAAGTATATATGACTTGTTCAAAATGTAACTAATATTTAACTCTCTTTTACCTGCTTAGAAAATGAAAATAATTTGAAATATTTCGCTGAATTAAAAATATATATATATAAAACACTTTAAAAGATCTGAAATTATAAACACAATTATTTTAAAGAAACTAATTTAAAGTAACAGTTCTGCTTTGACTGAATAAATGGAGAAATAAAGTGAATCTTTTTAAACCAAATAAGATCACATAAAAAGTGATTTCTTTGTATTCATTCTGTTTTGTGTAAAAAAATATGAGTATCAATACATTTCCCTTATGTTATTCTACTTAGGAATAGTGTCATGAAGATCATTTTCAGTTTTTGACATGCTCCATTTGGAGTCTTGTCTTATGATCACTTCTGAAAAATAGTATTTGTTTCAGACAGGAAGAAACAGGGGAGAGATGTCATTGAATGTGACAAGCTGGCCTTGCATGTAATAGCTGTGTTCTGTGCAACTATTTGGAGGACATTACCGTCAAGAATCCTCTTCTCACCTGCATCTCTAAAAACTTATTTTTTTAGCAATGTTCATAGAGTAATCCTAGTTAGGGTGACTAATTTACACTAAGTAAATTAAGAGTCTAAATAAGTCAAGCATGTCAAAGTTTTTTTAATAATGATAAACACTAATTGGCAAGAATATTTTATAAGCTCCAAGAAGGCAGAGACGATGCTTATTTCATTGAATAATATAGATCCAGATCTAGATATCAAATAGACAATAACTATTTGTTGAATTATTCAATTAATTTATTTAATGCTGAGGAAAGAAGGATGGGTAACTTGTCTCCCTGACAAAAATTGTATAACTAAATCCACACACTTTTGCTTAACAACTGTAGAATCAAACTAAGAGGATACACTGCTTGATGGGCCACTGAGCTGGGTTAGCTAAAGCATCCATTCCTGATACAGAGGTGCATGTGCAGGGTCAGAAAGCCTATGTGGCTGTTAGGACTCTTCCCTTTCAGGGTGGAGATAAACAAAAAGGTTGAACTCCTCTTTTCTAGATTTTTGGCAAAACTACTACCTATCTGTTAATAACATTCACCTTTAGCTGGCATAGAGTACAGCTGAATGAGACTTCAGCTTTTTAAAATTATATTCATACTTCCTTCATGCCTGCTTGATTCTACACCACAGTAAACCCAAGTCTCTCAGTGACATATTTAGACAACCTTTCTTGGCTAATCTCATCTATTATGCTTTGCCCTTCATAGACTTATACTTCAGATTCTGGGAGCAGCTTACTATGCCCTTATTCTCAGTCACTACTGTGTTTGATGTTCTGTTAAAGCAACGGTTTTGAAGAAGCAATAACAAGTCAATGAGGTGAGATTTAGTCTTAACTTCTGGTGATATCATATGAAAATAAACTTCAAGGAAGTGTCTGTCGTTCTTAGTTTGTCCTTGGATTTTGGTTGCTTTGAATGCTGTTTAAAATGACTAAGCCAGCAGATGGGGCTTGTAAAACAGTTAATTATACAGAGATACATTTGCCGTGATATCTTTTATTATATTTAGATGTGTATTATAAAATCACAATGAACAATCTTAGAATTTTGAAAATTTTAATAATTTTGACATGAACACATAAAGGCATGCTTAGTATATCCTTTATATGGAAGTAAGTATATCTAAATACAAATACGTTTTTCCATTTGCTATTTATTCAATTGCTTTTCTATTTCTTTTCTCCTCTCTTTGCCTTTTTTTGGTAATATTCACCAACTGGTAATATCAAGCAACAGGTAAAAAAGAAATAAAAACGAGTGGAACAAAGTATAATTCATGAGTTTCAGAAGCTATTTCCCAAGTTATACATTTGTTCTATTATCATGTTGATTTTTTATAATTTTTCTTACTGACAAAGCAATAAATGGAGATCTTCTATCCAATAAGTGTCTCTACAGTATAATGATTGGTGTATTTTTCACAGTACTAAAAAGCTTTTTGAAATATCTGTGAAGCAATTTATAGATCTTACAATGACTAAAATTGCAGATTTAATTTCTATTTTAGCATACAATGCAAGTTCCTGCCATATTTGTATAATCTGTCCATATTCTCTTGGATGAAATATACATGATATGAGCCTTCTTAGTGACTCTAAATGGCTACATGGAGTCTTCCAGAGTGTCTATGCACAGTTTTGGACCAATCAAAGTAAATAAACAAAATACAGACCTGAATTCTGTAGCCAGAACACAGAAGCAATGATTTTAACCTAGAAAAATCACAGCAGTTGTTAAAGTCATCTACCTCCAGAGGAAAGAATCAGGATGACTTCTTTCTGCTTTTGCATAGCAACTTCTCCTATCAGTTTCACTGACATTAGCTGAAAAATGCCCCCAGACCAGCGAATCATGAACAGGGCTATTTCATGTTGCTGTTTTACCATTGAAGAGAGTCTGCCAACATAAACTATTATTTCTTCTTTTTTAACTTTTAAGTTTGGGGTGGGGGTGGTACAAGTTCAGGTTTGCTACATAGGTAAACTTGTGTCATGAGGGATTGTTATAAGGTTTATTTCATCATCCAGGTATTAAACTGAGTAACCAGTAGTTATTTTTCCTGATCCTTTCCCTCCTTCCACCCTCCACCCTCCAATAGGCACCAGTATATGTTGTTCTTCTCTATGTGTCTGTGTATTCTCATTGTTTAGTTACCACTTATAGGTGAGAACATGTGGTATTTGGTTTTCTGTTCCTGTGTTAGTTTGCTAAGGATAATGGCCTCCAGCTCCATCCATGTCCCTGCAAAGAACATGGTCTCATTCTTTTTTTATGACTGCATAGTGTTCCATAGTGTATATACACAACATTTTCCTTATCCAGTCTATCATTGATGGGCATTTAGGTTGATTCCATGTCTTTGCTATCACGAATAGTGCTGCAATGGACATACACATGCATGTTTTTATAAAGTAATAAAGTATATTCCTTTGGGTGTATACTGAATAATGGGATTATAGGGTCAAATAGTATTTGTCTTTAAGTCTTTGAGGAATAGCCACACTGTCTTCCACAATGGCTAAACAAATTTATAGTTCCACAAATAGTGTATAAGCATTCCTTCTTCTCCACAACCTCACCAGCATCTGTTATTTGCTGACTTTTTATTAGTAGCCATTCTGATTGGTGTGAGATGGTAATTTATTGTGGTTTTGATTTGTATTTCTCTAATGATCAGCAATGTTGAGCTTTTTTTCCGTATGTTTGTTGGACACATGTATGCCTTCTTTTGAAAACTGCCTGTTCATATTCTTTGTCCACTTTTCAATGCGATTATTCGCTTTTTTTCTTGTCAATTTGTTTAAGTTCCTTATAGATGCTGGGTATTAAACTTTTGTCAGATGCATAGTTTGCAAACGTTTTCTCCCATTCTGTAGGTTGTGTGTTTACTCTGCTGATATTTTCTCTTGCTGTGCAGAAGCTCTTTAGTTTAATTAGATTCCGTTTGTCAATTTTTGCTTTTGTTGCAATTGCTCTTGGTGTCTTTCTCATAAAATATTTGCCTGTGCCTATGTCCTGAATGGTATTGCTTAGGTTATCCTCCAGGGATTTTATAATAAACTATTATTTCTAGCAACAGTGAAGCAGTAGTATTGGCATGTTTCTGAGATCATGCCACAGTCATGGTAATATCAACTGTGCTATTGATGTGGAGGAAGATACCTGTTTTCCAAGTTGCTCTTGCCTCTGAGAATATTGCCCTGAAGGCTTTATCAAAGCATAATTTATCTGAAAATTATAAGTATATGAAGAAAAATGAAAACACACAAGAAAGCCTATCATTTAAAATTGAAATTTATCTATTAAAATGATATTCCTGCCAGGCACGGTGGCTCACACCTGTAAACCCAGCACTTTGCGAGGCTGAGGCAGGCAGATTGCTTGAGTTCAGGAGTTCCAGACAAGCCTGGACAACATAGTGAAATGATCACTTGAGCCCAGGAGGCAGAGGTTTCAGTGAGCTGACACAGCACCACAGCACTCACACTCCACCCTGAGCAACAGAGTGAGACCCTGTCCCAAAAATAAAATAAAATTAAATAAAATAAAATAAAATAAAAAATAAATAAAATAAAATAAAATAAAATACAGGATGTTCCAGTCTACTGTGATCCTCTCAGTACCATTATGACGCAGGCAACAGAGAATCAATTGAAAGCTAAAACTGCTTTTCAGACAGGTTACATAGGTAGAAGACATATACATGAATGCATTCATTCATCTCACACATCTTTTAAAACAAAATATCTTCACACCCCATGTAGCAATTGTGACATTTATTTACTTTCTATTCACAGAAAATCTCCCTCTTACAATTGATTAGAGTACTTATATCATTCTTCCTCCCATACTCTCCTCTATGCTCTCCATTCAGTATATTTTTCCCTCCACTCCACTGAATAGCTCCTAAAGGGACATCAATGCCTGCACTGCTAAATTCTATCAGTAATTTTCTACTCTTAGTTTACTTAATCTCTCAGCCACATTTGCTTCCTCTTTTCTCGGTATTTGTGCTCATTAAAGGATAAGAAAGATGATTCGTAGGGGCACCAGATGAAAATACCAATCTTCTAATTTATTTTATTTTAAAAATGAGAAACAAAATAAAGTTGACTAATATTTAATAAATCACTAGACACTGATGCTTTCACTTGACCCATAAGATACATGATCACAGAGTATACTCCAAGTACCTGGAGAGGACAGTGGTAGTCCCACAACTCAAAGGGGTTGTAGACCCCGACTTACAACTTAACTAAACGAATTGCAGTTTATCTGTGCATAGTTAATGGATTTATGAATTATATTTTCTACCTCAAACCAAAAATAAACTTAAAGGGGGGCAAATGGCTTTAAGATTGATTTCTACAATCCTCATGTAATAAAGTTTTGAATAAAACTTTTTTATATATACTTTAAGTTCTAGGGTACATGTGCACAACATGTAGGTTTGTTACATATGTATACATATGACATGTTAGTGTGCTGCACCCATTAGTCTTTTATATTAGGCATATCTCCTAATGCTATCCCTACCCCCTACCTCCACCCCACCCCAGACCCTTCTGTGTGATGTTCCCCACCTGTGTCCAAGGGTTCTCATTGTTCAATTCCCACCTATGAGTGAGAACATGCAGTGTTTGGTTTTCTGTCCTTGCAATAGTTTGCTCAGAATGATGGTTTCCAGCTGCATCCATGTCCCTACAAAGGACATGAACTCACCCTTTTTTATGGCTGCATAGTATTCCATGGTGTATATGTGCCTCATTTTCTTGATCCAGTCTATCGTTGATGGACATTTGGGTTGGTTCCAAGTCTTTGCTGTTGTGAAGAGTGCCGCAATAAACATACGTGTGCATGTATCTTTATAGTAACATGATTTATAATCCTCTGGGCATATGCCTAGTAATGGGATGGCTGGGTCAAATGGTATTTCTAGTTCTAGATCCTTGAGTAATTGTGATGCTGTCTTCCACAATGGCTGAACTAGTTTACAGTCCCACCAACAGTGTAAAGGTGTTCCTATTTCTCCACATCCTCTCCAGCACCTGTTGTTTCCTGACTTTTTAATGATTGCCATTCTAACTGGTGTCAAGATGGTTTCTCATTGTGGTTTTGATTTGCATTTCTCTGATGGCCAGTGATGACGAACAGTTTTTCATGTGTCTGTTGGCTGTATAAATGTCTTCTTTTGAGAAGTGTCTGTTCATATCCTTTCCCACTTTTTGATGGGGTTGTTTGATTTTTTCTTGTAAATTTATTTAAGTTCTTTGTAGATTCTGGATATTAGCCCTTTGTCAGATGGGTAGATTGTAAAAATTTTCTCCCCTTCTGTAGGTTGCCTGTTCACTCTGATGGTAGTTTCTTTGGCTGTGCAGAAACTCTTTAGTTTAATTAGATCCCATTTGTCAATTTTGGCTTTTATTGCCATTGTTTTTGGTGTTTTAGTCATGAAGTCCTTGCCCATGCCTATGGCCTGAATGGTATTGCCTAGGTTTTCTTCTAGGGTTTTTAAGGTTTTAGGTTTAATATTTAAGGATTTAATCCATGTTGAATTAATCTTTGTACAAGGTGTAAGGAAGGGATCCTGTTTCAGCTTTCTACATATGGCTAGCCAGTTTTCCCAGCACCATTTATTGAATAGGAAATCCTTTTCCCATTTCTTGTTTTTTTCAGGTTTATCAAAGATCGGATGGTTGTAGATGTGTGGCATTATTTCTGAGGACTCTATTTGGTTCCATTGATCTATATCTCTGTTTTGGTACAGGTACCATACTCTTTTGGTTACTGTAGCCTTGTAGTACAGTTTGAAGTCAGATAGCGTGATGCCTCCAGCTTTGTTCTTTTGGCTTAGGATTGTCTTGGCAATGAGGGCTCTTTTTTAGTTCCATATGAACTTTAAAGTAGTTTTTTCCAATTCTGTGAAGAAATTCATTGATAGCTTAATGGGGATGGCATTGAACCTGTAAATTACCTTGGGCAGTATGGCCATTTTCACGATATTGATTCTTCCTATCCATGAGCATGGAACGTTCTTCCATTTGTTTGTGTCCTCTTTTATTTCACTGAGCAGTGGTTTGTAGTTCTCCTTAAAGAGGTCCTTCACATCCCTTGTAAGTTGAATTCCTAGGTATTTTATTCTCTTTGAAGCAGTTGTAAATGGGAGTTCACCCATGATTTGGCTCTCTGTCTGTTATTGGTGCATAGGAATGCCTGTGATTTGTGCACATTGATTTTGTATCCTAAGACTTTGCTGAAGTTGCTTATCAGCTTAAGGAGATTTGGGGCTGAGACAATGGGGTTTTCCAAATATACAATCATGTCATCTGCAAAGAGGGACAATGTGACTTCCTCTTTTCCTAATTGAATACTCTTTATTTCTTTTTCTTGCCTGATTGCCCTGGCCAGAACGTCCAACACTATGTTAAATAGGAGTGGTGAGAGAGGGCATCCCTGTCTTGTGCCAGTTTTCAAAGGGAATTCTTCCAGCTTTTACCCATTAAGCACAATATTGGCTGTGGGTTTGTCATAAATAGCTCTTATTATTTTGACGTAAATCCCATCAATACCTAGTTTATTGAGAGTTTTTAGCATGAAAGGCTGTTGAATTTCGTCAAAGGCCTTTTCTGCATCTATTGAGATAATCATGTGGTTTTTTTCTTGGTTCTGTTTTTAATGGATCATGTTTATTGATTTGCATATGTTGAACCAG